AATGACGTGAACACCTCTGACTATTTCATGGAGGGCGTGTCCGTCTTGCAATTCATCGTCCTCTTTGCTGGCCTCCTCTCCCCACCCTTCGTCGGGGCTCACCAGTCGCACACACATGAGTTCATGCCAGCCTCGATGAGCACAGGCTTCCTCTCGGTCTTCTGCTCTATCCGCAAGACCGCCGCTGTCCGCAGATATGCACCGCTCGCCCTCCAGATCCACGTGCGGCGCAAGCTGCCGTCTGGAAAGGCGCGAGACACGGGCCGAGATGCTTTGGGTGCATGAGATTGCGAGCGGATCACACCCCCACGTGCCGCCTGCGTCGCGAGCTCGCACCTGGGATCGCACCCCCCCCCCCGCCGAGCTATAAATCGCCGGCCGCGTCCTTGCCCTTGCTCGCAAGCGAGCTCGTGAGCTTCAGATCGGCAACAAGGCGCCTGTGCCCCCTGCCGATGTTTGCCGCCGCCACGTCAGGTTGTTTTGGATTACTGTAACTGAGGTGTGCAGTTGGCTCCATCTCGATGATCATGCCCCACGCCGAGCGGAGGCATTTGATCAAACGTTTGAGTAGGAATTTGTGTCTTGTAGCATGCTTCGACCGAGGGTTAACCATCGCGGCGTCGCCAAGGACGTCGTGTAGCTGGCCGCTGGGCGTGCCCCAGTCGATGTCGTTCGGAGCCGTGCCGCACGTCGCCGTCCACGCGGCCGACGTCGAGTAGGGGCACTTGGCGCATGTACTGCTGCAGCCCTCTTCCCAGACTCGGATCACCTCGTCCGGCATCTCGACTTCGATGCGGAAGACCTCCGCGTCTGCGATGTTGGGTGCCGACTCCGACACAATCATGCGGTCGTAGGTGTTGGGGTCACACGAAGCGGCGACCGTCGTGTCGAGGTTGTTTGGGACGATCATCTTGTACCCCGGCATGGTGGCGAGGATCTCGGGCCAGAGCGCCTCGTCAAAGTAGTTGCAGTCCGAGTTGTAGTCCCCTGCGATCAGGTAAGGTAAGGTCAGGTAAACTTCTCCACACACACAAGGTAGTGGGGCAAGCCTGCGATCATGTTGAAATCGGCGCCAAAGCGGCCCTCCATCCATGACAGCACGTTTCCAAAGTTGCGGATCTCCTCCTCTGCACGGTCAGGGTTGGTGTGCGTCAGCGCGATGGCGAACGTGGCGTCGCAGGACACGCCAGCGGCGCAGTCAGCCCCCGCGCCGCTCGGCACCCTGAGCAGAAAGGCGTATGGGATGCGATTGTGCGTCTCGCCACTAACGTAGGTACGCGCGTAGTAGCCGTTGGTGTCTGGATACTCGTCGCCCTCGACGAAGGACGCCTTGGCGCGGTCGTAAAAGAGCGTGTACTGCTCATCGTTGGACTCGTCGGTGTGCTGCGGCCCTTGCCACGGGGACACGATCACGTTGAGATCTCGGCCGCTGCTTGACCTTGCGAGGTCGAGGAGATTGCATACCACATCTCCCGTGTTGGGACCACACACACCGCCGCAGCCCGTCCCGTCTGGCTGGCACGTCTCCGCGTCGGGCGGCTTTTGCGAGAGCTCCTCCATGCCCAGAATATCATACCGGCCGATGATTTCCGCCGTGACCTCCCTCGTGACGGGACGCTGGTCTTTGGTCCTCCCGTAGTTTTGGATGTTGAACGCGGCAAAGGATAGGCCGGACCCCCTCGCTGGGGCTGCAGTCGTACAGCGACATGGGATGGCGAATGCTGAGGTATGCGCTCCGACAACCGGGGTTAGCCCTATTTTTGGTATAACACACAGCGGTGGTTAAGATCGAGGGAGTGGGGTCAGCATGGGAGAGGTGGAGGGCGGCGGAGGCGTGGGCGAGATGGAAGGCGGCGGAGGCGTGAGCGGCGGCGGCGGCGGTGGGAAGAAGGTGGAGGGTAGCGGCGGCGTGGGCGAGGTGGAGGGCGGCGGCGGCGTGAGCAGCGGTGGCGGCGGTGTGGAGGGGGTGGAGGGCGGCGGCGGCGTGGGCGGTACGGCGGCACGGCGGTAACGGACGGCAGGGGGGGCGGCGGGCTAAACGGCAAGGGCGGCGCGGCACGGAGGAAGGAGCGGCACGGCATAGGGAGGAGCAAGGACGGCGCGGTAACGCGTAACGGCAGGATCACGGATAGGCGTGGCACGGATAGGAG